AATTTGTGGCTTGAGAGAATGTTTCAGGATCATTTTCGGTCCCTATGTCAGATTCTTGTAGATACGAAACATAATAACTAGGAACTGCTGATCGCCTTATCCGAGTAGACTGTCTTAATGTTGGACCTCCATCGCCTTGCACAAGCTGCGGTGCAACTACCTCTTCAAGAACTGGTGGCAGTTCTTGAATTGGTTCAGTCTGCATCGCCTCAGGATTTTGCTGTATATCCTGAGTTGGTTCATCCATTGGTTCGAAATCTAGTTCAGGCGGTTGCTGTAAGTCCTGAACTGGTTCTTCCAAAGGCTGATCCTCAACAGTTTGTGGAATCTCAACGGTAGGTGATATATCTGCAGACAGAACTAAAGGAGAACTGTGGATAAGTACAACCCCACCAGATGACGTAGAAGGTTGAGAGTCAGTATGATCGAAGGAAGGAACTAAGTCCTTAAACCGATCACTCCCACTAATCAAGTCATCTTCAAGAAATTTAGCATTCCTTGATTCCACTATCCTAGTAGTATGAGATGGACAATAGAATCTATAACCCTTAGAAGATTGTGCATATCCAATAAAGAAAGCATTAATCGTCCTTGGGTCAAGTTTCTTCTTGTGTGGGTTATATATCCTCACCTCAGATGGACACCCCCAAACACACATATGTTGCAAACTCGGTTTCCAACCTTTGAATAACTCAAATGGTGTCTTAAGGACAGCCTTGATTGGAACACGGTTTAATATATATGTTGTCGTCTTAAGTGCTTCATCCCACAACGACTTTGGAAGCATAGAGTTGCTAAGCATACTCCGCGCCATATCTAGAAGGGTTCAGTTTCTTTTTTCAGCTACACTATTTTGGTCCGGAGAACCAGACATGGTGTATTGGGCAACAATCCCATGCTCTTGAAGAAACTTAGCAAAGGGACCAGGTGCTTGTCCATTCTCAGTATATCTACCATAGTATTCACCACCCCTATCAGACCTAACTATGTGTATTTTCCTGTTACATTGGTTTTCAACTTCAGCTTTAAATGATTTAAAGGCATCCAATGCTTCATGTTTATGATGAAGTAAATACACATAGGAAAATCTTGAGAAGTCATCAATGAAGGTGATGAAATATTTCTGACCAGGTATTGTCATATCAGGACAACATATGTCAGTATGAATAATTTCCAACAACGTTGAACTTCTATTGGCAGCTTTCTTTGACTTGTTTGTCTGCTTACCCTTAATGTAGTCAAATGCAAGTCTCAAAGTCAATATAGAGTATAAAGTACTCCATCCTTTACCAACCTTTTAATACGCTCAAGGGAGATATGACCTAACCTCCGATGCCACAACATTGAGGAATTGTCGTTAATACTACACCGTTTGGTGCCGTTTTGAACATATAATGAATTGTAGACTGAATCATTCTTTAATTTAAGATGGAAAAGACCATTAGACAATGTACCAGTACTAATACAAGTAGAATAATGAAATAACTTGAAATCATTGGTATTAGAGTTATTGCCAAAACTTTCTTTGATTCAATGAAGTTATCATCGATAGCTTTGAGCAAGGGCTTAGATCTCCTAATGTCCTAAATGCAAAAACGAATTTTTGTGGAAATTCTTGACTTAATGAAGACAACACATAATCCATTGGATTTCTCCCATCGTGCGCGAAGCTGCTTGGCTTCGCCAGTGCTTTCTTTAGTAACCTCAGGAGGTTCCTCATTGAGAACAGCGTAATCCAACTCTAATAATCTTAATTGCAGGAGAATAGCATCTTTCCACTCCTTGTGGTTATCTTCATTAAGGATTGGAACATTAATAGTTCGTGTTTGGGTGACAGGATGAGTTGCTGTAAAGAATAATAATTAATGCTTGGTTAGAAAAATTAGAGAGAGATACTGAAGTACATAATATTACTAATGTAAAATTATGCGAAAGATAAATTCGGATGCCATAAAAATTGCATGTGGGCAAAATTTTTACGAATAATGAATTTACCAAAACTGAATGGTGGAAACGAAATGGGTGCGATTTTAATTTTTCCACCCTTTATGACAAAACTACCAAAACTATATGCCGATACATAATCCATGTGGGAAAATTATGATCATAGTATGGTATTTCATCCTAATTAACCCTACAAATATAACAAAATTGCATGTGGGCTAAATTTTGCAACATCACGCAGAATTAACTACAATATTCTTGCCTTTAACTTTATGTGAGTAAAACTTAATATGTAATTTTGGTAAATTAAAGATGATGTGGCTACTCTTTAATTGACCAAACAACATAATCACATTAGCAAGAAAGCCTAATAAACAAACAGATTGAACCAAAATATGATAGACAATCCTTAGGTATACTCCCAGGAAAGTTGGTCGAGACGAAGCGCGGTTAAAAACCAACTCCTTAGACAGAGTAGTGTCGCAAGGGGACTAGTAGCAATAAGGCTTTTAAGCCAGGGCCATAGAATAGTATTCCTCCCCAAGAAACTTCCCTAATTCATGTGTTCTCATTTTTGAAGTAAAATCATTTGAGAGATCTATAGAGTGTAGTTTCACCTATGGATAGGCTTTGAATAGGGTAAACTACGAATTGTTTATGTACTTTATGTGCTTTAGGAACTTTATAAAAGCACGAATGGAGTAATAACTGAAGAGTGAGTAATAATATGCATAATCTAACCTGAAAGGCACTAATTCACCTAAAGGTACTAAATCATGCAAAGCATATAATTCAGATCTAAAAGGCTCTAAATTTTTCTTAATGAACATGTTTTTCTACAGGCATAATTATAACAGTCAAATAATTATTGCAATAAAGAGATAAATAGCATGCTCAGATTATGCATATTACTCACAAAATACTCCACAATTAAATTGTAACACTTAATACAATTTGAACTGAAAAACATTATTAAATTAAAATTCAACTGAAAAATTAAAACTGAATAATTATTCAAAGTTGAATAATAATTTAATAATAGACTTAATAAAAAAAATTTCAATTTGATAATTTAATTAGAAGAAGTCCAAATATGATGAAAGAATTAAACTGAAAGAATTGATGTAATCCAAATCTCAATTTAGATTTGGCCCAAAAATAAAAGTAGGCCCAAATTTAATTAAAAAATTATTTTCTTTTTAATATATGAGCCCAGGTCTAGCCAAGTTGGCTAGACCTGGCCCAAAACCTTAAGCCCTTCATCATCCATCTTCTTCATCTGAATAACGCAACAGCAGCGCAGACCAGCAAACGCACAGCCATGGGGGACGAATCAGTAGCCTAAAATGCCGCCGGCGTCGCCAATAGGGAAGCAGATAGCAGCAAGGTCGCCGGAAACCCAACTCCGCCGCCACCACCTGGCCTCCTCGCAACGCTAGCACCTCCGCCGTCCGCCCGCCACAGCCGCGTCGCGAACCAGTCCGGCCGTGTCGCAACGCCAACCGACGACGTACAGAACATAGGGCTGTTAACGAACCGAATTTTGGGGTGTTCGTGTTTGTGTTCGTTTGTTAAGGTTTTTGAAAATCCTGTTCGTGTTCGTTTGTTAAGCGTTCATTAGTGTTTGTTAACATTCGCGAACACGTTCACGAATGGGTTCGTTTACGTTAACGAACACATTCACGAACGTGTTTGTCAACGTTCGCGAACATGTTCATGAACGTGTTCGTTAACGTTAACAAACATGTTTGTTAACAAACACGTTCACGAACATGTTGGTTTACGTTCATGAGCACGTTCATGAACCTTTAATAACCAAACACCTGTACATGTTCATGATCACAATTCGTTCGTGAACATTATTAAACGAACACTAAACGAGCTTGTTCAGGAACATTATTAAACGAACACTAAACGAGCTTGTTCAGGAACATTATTAAACGAACACTAAACGAGCTTGTTCACGAACATTATTAAACGAACACAAACGAGCTTGTTCACGAACATTATTAAACGAACACAAACGAGCTTGTTCACGGTCTCTTAGCAAACGAGCATACAACTGTTCAAGCTCTGTTCGTTTATTAACCGAGCTCTAATTTTGTTTGTTAATGGTTCCTTTACCTTAACAAATGAACATAAATGAACGCTTACTGAACACGAACACGAGTAGTTTGCCGAAAGCTCTGTTCGCTAACACCTCTAACAGAACACGATGCTTCTTAAGGTCGTGCCATCGTTGTCGTTGATCCATGCCATCACCGGAAACACCATTGTTGATGATGATGAAGGAGGCGACGTAGATAAAAAAAAAAAAAAATTTGATATAAAACGTCCCTCCACCAACAACAAGGAGTTTCTGGCAATTTCAAAATAAAATGGCAATTGGATTTGATAAAGAATGGCGTAGCTGTAGGAGATAAAAAAATTAAATTCAATTGATTTTTTTTTTTTTTTTGTTTCTTAATGTGGAATAAACAAAATTTCTAGCAGCCCAGATATACAATTGCATACTAAGAAAATATTCACATATGTAATCTCAATTATACAGCAAAGTATATAACATATGCAAATATTTAGCAATTTAAAATAAACTAGGCAGAGATTATTTTTGGCGACTGATACCAACTGTTAGACTAAATATCACATGCATCATATAATATGTGATAACAGGACCGACTAACCTCCAACCATAGTTCTTGAGATGGTTGAACGTTCCGGACTGCTGCAGAGATAACGAGTATTTTGTCTCTCACTTTACTCGGCTCTTTCTAGATGGTGTATAAGGTATGTAATGTGAGTAGTGAGAGGACTAGTGACCTTATATAACCACAGGCCATCATTGTGGTTGTATGTCTTTAGGTCTCCTAAACCCTAACTAGACTCCTAATCATAATGGTAGTCTAGCTATTAGGTTATTAGCGTTGCACCACATATCAAATACTGAATATTATCATAACTTATCCTAATGTTATAATAATAGTAACGGATAAAACATTACACTCGGCAGAAATAAATACATAAAAATAATAGGTAAGGACAAATTAGAATGTTGATGATTCTTCGATCTTGTTGTAATGTTTAGAAGAAAGTATACATATGTTGGTGACCTTTTTGATCTTGTTGTCATGTTCATTAAAATACTTATCTTGATTGTTTCATTTGTATGCATCGTAACCTCTCATTCCTAGCTATTAACGAAGAAAGTGTGTGTGGATGAATGTTGATGATTGTTTGTTGTCATGTTCAGAAGATCAGAGTGATTATGACACTCTTCCAAGTGATCTTCTTTGTAATCAACTTTGTAAAGTAATCAAAGTTAATTGTATTTCTTTGTTTGTATGTTTAAAGTTTTATAATGAACTATGTTGTTTGGATTAAAGATTAATTAATTTGAAATTTTAGAAAAATAAACTTGATTCATGACTAAAAGGAATTATCTGGTTTTGCAAAACTATATAGTTTTACAACATGGATCTAATGACTTTAATCCATATTTTCAAAGCCTTATATTTTCTCGAAGCGTTATGCCGTGCAACTATGTGCACCATGCAAGGCAAATTATATCCTGCACCGCGGTGCATGGCAAATTATGCCCTGAAAACGTGTTCACCGTGTATGGTGAACACAAGGCCAAACGATGTCGTTTTTAGGTTAAAAAAAAAATAAATAAATTCGCGGATGTGGAGTTAACAGCGCGCGTTGATCAAATTATGAATTTTCTGTTATGAGATTATGAATTTTCATAAAATTCATAATCTCATAAAAGAAAATTCATAATCTCATAACAGAAAATTCATAATCGCATAACAGAAAATTCATAATCTCATAACAGAAAATTCATAATCTCATAACAGAAAATTCATAATCTCATAACTGAAAATTCATAATCTTATAACAGAAAATTCATAATCTTATAACAGAAAATTCATAATCTCATGGTTCCAAAGTGAATGTGTAGGCATTGTTCCAAAGTGAATGTGCAGGCATAGATTCATAATTTATGAATGTCCGTGATTTCGGACGGGAATGTGTAGGCATGGTTCCAAAGTGAATGTGCAGGCATGAATTCATAATTTATGAATGTCCGAAATCATTGTTCACCTCAAATTAAAGTGAAACCGCAAAATGTGGAAATGAAGAAGAAAAGTCACGCAATTAATTAAGAAAAAAAAAAAAAAAAAGATAACGGTGTACTAACACCGTTGGAACCGTGTTCACCATGAATGGTGAACAGGGTTCCATGGCATAACGCTCCGCGGTGCATAATCGATTATGCACTGCGCGTCAGACACTACTGTGTGTCTAAACCGATACTGTCAAAACGGCGTCGTTTTATTTAATGAAAAGAAACAGAATCTTTGCAAATAACTCTGTTCTTCCGTTTCATTTTGTATACACTGCAGTTTCAGTTCAACACAACTACAATTTCATTTCGATATAACTACAGTTTCATTTCGATATAACTACAGTTTCATTCAATATTTATACACTCAAATATGTGAAAATGTTATTTAATTTTATTTTATATACACTATAATTTCATTAAAACACAACTACATGATCATTTGAATATAATTACAACTTCATTGTACAATATAAGTTATTCAGTTTCATTTTATATATACTGTAGTTTCATTTCACCACAACTACAATATCATTTTGATATAACTGTAGTTTCATTTGATAATATCTACTATACTAATAAGAGCCCAAGAGAGTTAGGCCTATAATGGGTACAAAAAATGGCGGTCAAATTTTTTAATCAAATGAATGGCTCAGATTGATCATATTTTAATTTTTCCTTAAGATTTACTAATTTATCCTTAATGAACATGATTATCCGTTAACTTTTCCGTTAAATATTATCTTTTCCGTTACTTTCTGTTAGTTCACCGTTAACTTACTCATTGATTTCAATAAAAAAGGTTTTAGGTTCGAACCTCATCCTAATCAAAGTTGGCATAATTAGTACTCTATTTTAGTCTTATTAAATTAAAATAATAATTTAGTAGCTACAACAAAAAATAATACATATGCATTTTCTTTAATTTAGAATTATGTGTCTACAATGTCGTTATTCAAAAAAAAATTATTCATTATCAATAAATTAAATAGGAGAAATAATTTCATTAGTTATATTGTCTTTATTTTTCTCCAATATAAAAAATCTTTACATTCAAATTCATCAATTGATTATGTTCGCTACATTGTCCCTACAATGTCTTTACTTAAAAAAAAATTATTCATTATCAATAAATTAATTAAGAAACATAATTTTATTAGTTCTATTGTCTTTATATTTCTCAAAGTAAAAATTCTTTACATTCAAATTTCAAATTCATCAATTGATTATATTCACTACATTGTCTATTATTTTTTGTGCATTATTTTTTAATTAAATATCAAAGTTATAATACTAAATAATGCTATATAGTTGTTTACCAAGTATTTTACTAATACCATGAAAAATTTTTAAAAATATAATTAATAAAACCAATCATATTAACTATTTGAGGGATTTGTTGACAAAGAGAATATTCAAATCACACAATAAATTGAAGTGAGAATTACCTCGCAATGTCCTTGTTTGACAATCAGTAGTTAGCGTTAACGGATTATATTAGCGAATTTGACCAGTGAATTATATCAACGATTGGTAAAAAGATATTTGAAAAAATTAGCTGTTGTTTAGATTAACATGTAAAATGACCTAAGGGTATATATATATATATATATATATATATATATATATATATATATATATATATATAATAGTTTAAAAAAATAAAAAAATATATAATTAAGCCAATCATATTAACTACTTTGAGGGATTTATTGACAAAAAGAGTATTCAATTCACACAACAAATTGAAGTAGGAAACTACCTCGCAATGTCCTTGTTTGGCAATCAGCAATTAACTTTTCAATATTAGTATATATTTAATATTTTATGCCCTAATTTTAATTTACTTTCCCTTATGTCCCGTATTTGGTTTCAACCATACCTATACAATTATTTTATTTACAATTATAATCAATCTTGACTATATTATCTTGCATTTGTAAACTTAGAATTGTCTATTTAAATACGTAAATTTAACATTCAATTATCTATGCACGAACAATTCCAATATAATATTGCCTTGATATACTTTAAAGTACTTATTTTAAAAAAAAAAAATTGGGCATTATCCCAATCGCGCAATGCGTGTAAAAACTAGTAAAAATAATACGTCAGTTAGTGTCGGTTTAGACACACTGTAGTGTCTGACGCGCGGTGCACGATATAACGACCCCCATGCAAGGTGCACATGCAATTTGGTTCATACTTTCTATAATATAGATTCATAATTTCTATACTATAGCTTCATAATTTTTAAATTGTAAATTCATAATTTCTATATATACTATAAATTCATAATTTCTATACTGTATAGTTATCAAATTATGAACATATAGCTCAGTGATTTGTGAATACAGAGTTCAACAATTGGGAATATGAACATTGAAAATTATGAACATAAAGTTTTGTAATTGTGAATATAGAGTTCAATAATTATGAATCTATAGTATAGAAATTATGAATCTATAGTATATAAATTATGAATTTATAGTATATAAATTATGAATCCAATTCCGTATGCACCATGCATGGTGCACACGATTGCACAACATAATTTGCCTATTTTCTCCTATCAAAAAGTATATGAATATTTAAACATAATGTGCAATATAATATAATCCAACAATTATGTTAGATTTTTAGTTGCAAAGAAAGATATTAATCATTTAATTTAGTATCAGAACCAATCTCGTATATAAGATCATGTGTTTGAATTTCAGTGTCACTCAATTAAAAGGGACTACAATTCACTTCTTTCTTAAAATTCATCAAAAAGTAATTAGTCCTCACACGTGAAAGACATGTTAAGCATGCATATATATAATATATAAATATAAATGTGTAATCAAACTATCAACTTAGACTTTTAGTTATTTGGATAAATATAACTAATTTTGAAAAGCAAAAATTGTGGTTACCAAAATCTTAAAAGTAATTAAAGAATCATGACTGTTTCAATAAATAAATAAAAACTTGAAAGTAATATACTAATATGTATGTAAGCCTGTTGTAAAAGATAAAATTAAAATTTGAAGCTTTGAGTTTTTTTTAAAAAAAAATTCTTTTGAATTGTTAAGTATAAAGATGATGTAGGCATACATTTTGGTTAATTTTTCAATAATTAATTAAAATAACGATCAAAATTGATAGATTCAAGTTTGGTGAATTGTGTATAATCTTAGACACCAAATTGCAAGAAATTTGTTGATTTGTAGTCAAATATTAATTGAAATGAAGAAATAATCTCTAGTTTTCCCTTTTAGCTCGGAATGTGATAATATATGTTATTGGCACGGTGATATTAGAGGGAGTTATTCAGTAAAGAATGGATACAGAGTTTTGCGCCAATCTCCTATGGTTGACACCCTAGTATGGTGCATACTCTGGAAGCCTCATGTCCCACCAAAATGGAGAATTTTCTGTGGAGAGCCTTAAAGGCCATCCTTCCTACTACCTTGAATTTGTCTCAGAGATTGTGCCCTTTATGTGGAATAGACCAAGAAGAAATCATGCATTTATGTGTTATGTTGGTGCCCATTTGCCTCTCGTATTTGGACTGTCTCCCAGATGGCAATGCCAGCAAATGGACGCTGAGGATAGGATGCTGCAAGATGGGGATAGCATGACAGCCGGTGGGAGGGCGGGAATTTGGACGGCAAGGAACAGGGCTGTGTGCAGTGGGATAATCTGGTGCCATCGCCTGGGGTAATTTGGAAGGAAGTGGAGGCGAGTTGGAACTGCTCCGCTCCACCATTGGAGAACGTTGAATCTGGCTTGCCTTTAATTTGCAGGTTCGATGGGGATGGTGGATTCAGAGCTGCGTTGCTGGTAATGGACCATTAATATTGCAGTGTATTTCTGACCCTCTCTTGCCGAAAGCTATAGTGGCTAGCTAGGGAGGCACTCAAGTGGCTGGATCAAAGATCAAGGCCTCACCAACGTCCGCCTCCAAACGGACTGCGGCTTAGTCTTGTGCTCAAGCCTTTCTAATTTTGTGTCTAACTGCTCCATCTTATGTATCATTTACTGCTGATTGTAATCGTCTCTTCCGTTTTTTAGATTGTTGTGTTATTTGTTTCATCTGTACAGATACAAATCCGGTTGTTCATGTTTTAGCCAAAGCTGAGTAAGCCATATTGTCTTATACCTTCTAATTAACACAATCAGCTTAACAACTATCAACTAATTGTCATTTATCAAACAGGGCCATTGTCTCATTCGGTGTGGACGTACTAATGTCCTCCAAACTTTTTGAGTTCCTTAATTTAATTTGTTTTTTTTTTTTTAAATCTCTAGAATGTTAGATATAAATTTAGACTAACATTAACTGAAGTAACGAGTAACCTGACTCATCACAGCGGAAGCTTTAGCACCTTTGAACATCCCTAGCCATAGTTGTGGAAATTGCCTTTGGGATGGTAAACCTGTAGAAAGTGTTTTGTCTACCACTTCTCTCCCGAATACCTGATGGTGTGTGTATTCTGAACAGGGGAGCTGTGGGAGGACTATTTTGCTTAGAAGCCTACATGCCATCAACGTAGGCAGATATTCAGTTAAAGCTTAACTGAATATCCTGAGTTGCCTAACAGATTAAGCCACCAACTGACTTAATCTTCCACTTGCACCACAACCACTTAATTAATACAATATATTATAATATATTATATTAGGGAAAATACTTACATTCTTCCACTTGGTGCAAGTACTGGCACAACCTTTATTAAAGAACAAAACACATGAACCATAGTAATACGTCCTCTACTAATCAAGCGAGTAATATCTTCTATGATCACATGCATTTTAATTCCCTAACTTAGGTTCTTAATGAACAAACCATACGTTTATTCTTAGTCCCTTAATGGATGTTTCTCGAAATATATTATGTGCACAATTGAAGGAAGAAACCATCCAAATTCACTGTATGATCTCAAAAATCTTAAAAGCATGCCTTAAGTAGAGATCTCTTAATGTTAGCATAATGCTAACTTTATTCTATGACTTCTTTATAAGTTAACATAAGCACTACCTATAACGGCTAAGAGCTTGGAGTTGAGACGTCTGTCACTCCCACTCATTAAGATAGCCAAAAGATAGTAAAGTCATAGAAACATTCCAATAACTTACAAACCAAAAATCTAAGTCCATAAATCTGGAATCTTAAACATACACCAACTTCCCAAATAATCTCAAGATCCACATCGAAATTAATTGAACATTACGAGTCTTACTTATTATGTCTTACAAAATTGTTTTGAGCCTTACAAACTAAAAATGGCCCAGGATCAATTTTGAAGAAACTAAAGACTCTATTAATCGCTAAAGAATTTATTAATTGGCAGTGCACCACAAGTTAAATGCTTTCGTTCTAATAAATTCATTAATATTGTTACAACATTTTCATAAATATGTTGTACAACCAAACGTTCAATGAAATGAACTTATGAATTATAAGAACAAAAAACTAAATTAATACTTGTGGAAACTTTTAGACTTATTGCTAGACGCACAATCCAATTTGGAATGTATGAAAACAATTAAATCCATCAGCTTTAGTGGAGTATTTTAATTATCTTTTTCTAAATGATCACTCCCACTGATTAAAATATTCTTTAGCCAAATTAATGATATAACACTCGTAATTGATTTGACTAACTAAATAATGAAGATATAATTCCCCACCATTAGTTGGGCATACTAAATAATCAATATTTGGTTCCAATTATAGTCCAACTAAATAAATAATTAATGAGGACATGATTCTCCACCATAGTTGTACATACTAAAATAATAAAATACGCCTTCCGAAACCAAGTTGGAATTTGGCTCAGAAGATATATTTTATTATTGGAATCCAAAAGAGGTATATCATACCACGCAACTTACTATAGTTAGTCCAAATAACCAAGTAAGCTTCGTGAAAAATAATTAATAAAAGGTGTATCTAAATTTTGGAAAGTAGCTAAATACATGTTTTGCCAATGCAAACCATGAAACTTAGAATTATAATTGAACTAAATTTATAAATTCTAAGAAATTGGGATAAAGTTATTATCTAATGGGTTGATGAATTTATTGACATAAAACTTGCCTATGAGCTAAAGTTTTAAATCTATTAAATTCAATTAAACACTTATGATAGTATTTTCTCAATTACTAAATAGTCAGAAGAATCTAGTGACATAAAACTTGCCTGTGGGCTAAAGTTCTACTCAATTAGATCCAACTGAAATTTTATGATGAAACAATTATCAAATGAGTTGAAGAATCAAGTGACATAAAACTTGCCTGTGGGCTGAAGTTTTAATTCAATTAGATTCATTACAAACCATTATGACAAAAAACTTTAGAGATCATGTTCCTTATCTAAATTCCTGTGGGCAAATTAAGATGTATGACCTAAAGTTTACATCATAAAATTAAGCTTCATGATAGAAGTGAATCTTTATTCCTATCATCACTGATAAAACTACTAAACTACATTCCAATACATAATTGCCTGTGGGTTAAATTATGATCATAGTTCAGTATTTCATCATAATTAATCATACAAATATAACGAAATTGCCTGTGGGCTAAATTTCATCATATTACATACAATTAATCACAATTGATATGTCTAAAACTTTATGTGACCCTAAAAACTGAATATATAATTTTAACTGATTAAGGATGTTGTGGCTACTCCCCAACTAATTAAAATTATAAGACCACTAGACATTTATCAAATTTTATGTGACCCAATATATAATTTTAACTGATTAAGGATGCTGTGGCTACTCCCCAACTAATTAAAATTATAGGATCACTAGGCATTTATCATTGCCTTTATGTGATTTGAACTTTAGACAATTTTTAGTAAATTAAAGATGTTGTGGCTACTCTTTAATTAATCTAAAAATTGTAATCACTTGGCAAAAGGGGAAGTTAAAGCCTAACAAACGAATTAAACCAACACATGATATACAATTATTAGGTATACTCCCAGGAAAATTGGTCGAGACGAAGCTCGGTTAAATACCAACTCCTTTGACAGAGTAGCGTCGCAAGGGGACTAGTAGCAACAAGGCTTTTAAGCCAGGGCCATAGAACTAGTATTCCTCCCCAAGAAACTTCCCTAAGTCATGTGTTCTCATGTTTGAAGTAAAATCGTTTGAAAAATCTATAAAATTGTAAATTCACATATGGATAAGGCTTTAAATTGATGAACTAATTCCATTCTCAAACTATGCTTGCTAAAGGCATAATAAATCGCATAATCTAAAAATAAAATATTATGCTTAGAACAGATATGCATAAAATTAAATTATAAACTCATATATTCCAAATAAATTGTATAACTGAAAACAATTTAATATGAGCAATAACCTCAAGTATACAATTAATATTCAAAACTAGTATGACTTCTAACTAGGGATGGCAATGGGTCGGGTGTGGGTCGGGGAGGGCTACATCCATCACCCGACCCACCTTATATTTTCTCCACCCACCCCCACCCCCAATCCGTATCGGGTGGACTTTTTCAGAACCCACCCCCACCCCCACCTGGTGCGGGTGTCCACTACGGGTACCCACCACTTATCATCTTATTATGTTTTTCAAAACATAATATTTAAATTATTTACACATAATAAAAAATAAAATCCATTAGTGATACTAAAACATAAATAATGAAAATATTTAAATATAATAACTAAATTGTTAATTTTTAAAAATAAACTTAATAGTTTTGATATAAAAAATAGTAAAAAGATACACGAAGTTATATAAACTTTTATAAATAACTACATACTAGTACTTAAGCCATAGAGGTGGAGCTACGGTCAGATTGTTCGAACCTATGTCACGCTAGGGGTGAGCATCGGTCGGTTACGGTCAATAACCGACCGAAAACCGATCACCTTTTTAACATCTCATAACCGACCGTAACCGACCGCCCTTATTCATATAACCGACCGAAACCGATGGAGTCGGTTTCGGTCGGTTATGGTGGTAACCGAATAACCGAAACTGAGATTAGAAATTCTGCAAATTATCATCAAATAAAATAATAAAAAAGTCCATACTTCATAATAAAACAAGTTAAACAACACTGCCAAGTTCACAAGTTCATAAAATAAGCAATTTAACATAGTTCATACTTCCAATCTGCCAAGCAATTTAACAATTAACATAGTTCATAAAATAAGCAATTTAACAGTACAAGTCACAATCTGTCAATCCATGCCCAAGTGACCAAGTCATCATTCATCAATCATCAACATGTTTCCAAATTCCAAAGCCAGAGTTCATCACCTGCTTGCATCAAAAGATAATCAAAAGTGAATATATGATATATGAATATGATAATTATTAATTAATACATAATAAATAATACAGTATAGCAGTACTAACTTACACAGTCAATTATATTCTTCTTGCATCTTGTTTTTCTAATCAATCACAGGATCCAAACTCAACTTTGACATATCTAAATCATATAAAAATACAAACATTACATAAAGAAAGAACAATAAGAAAATTATAATATTTAAAATAAAGTAATGATTTTGATACTCACCCACGTCAAATTTATACATCTCTCCAACATCATGCTCAACTAAATCAGTCATTGAAATGACGTTTTCATCTCGTAACCAATCTTGAGTGCATACAAGAGCTTGTACAATTTTAGGAGTTAACGAACTCCTATAAGTATCAAGCACACGTCCACCAGTGCTAAATGCAGATTCAGATGCGACCGTTGATATAGGAACTGCCAATACATCACGAGCCATGCATGAAAGAACGGGAAATCTATGAGCATTTTCTTTCCACCAACGGAGAATATCAAATTCACCACCACCAATTTGAGTATCAAGCTCTTCATTCATGTATTTATCCAATTCATTTTTTTGCTGCCCAAGGCCAATTTCAGCCAAATACTTTTCAAAGTCACTTACAATGTTTAGTGGACTTTTCACATCCGCATTAGTTGCACTCATTGTCATTGGTTGAGTAAAATTGCTACCCTCACAATGTGAAACTTTCACCAATCCATGGTATTCCATAAACAACTTGTTAGTCACTTCTTTAAGTTTAGAAGACAACACTGAAGCTTGATCAGGTGAATACATTCTCTTGAAACAAAAATCAGCAAACACATATTTCCTTCTAGGGTCAAGCACAGTTGCAACATAAAGTATCATATTCATCCTCTCCACATTCCCCCAATATTTGTCAAATTTCTCCTTCATTCTTTTGGCCATAGCACTAAACTGTTCGTCATCACTCTTAATCCAATCACACAAAGTACAATACAATTCACAAATTTCAGGAAAGTAAACATTGCAAGTCACATATGTAGTTCCAGAAACTTTCAATGTGAATTCATAGAAACGTTGCAAAAACTTGCTCACCTTCCTAACATTTTTCCAATCCTCTTCCTTGGGTGTGCCACTATTCAACACAAGCTCATGCTTATAATTGTGGTCAATCTCTTCAAATCTCTCAAATGCTCTTTCAAATTTTTGAGCCGCATCTAACATCAAGTAAGTGGAATTCCACCTAGTGCTACAATCCATGCTCAACAAAGATTTAGATTGAATTTTTTCTAATTCTATACATTCTTTAAACCTGTGCAATCTAGCCGGTGATTGCCTCACATACTTCACCGCGGATCTAACCCGAGCAATTGATTCATTCACTTCCTTCAACCCGCCCGTGACAACCAAATTAATAATGTGTGCAACACATCTCATGTGAATAAATTTGCCCTCTAATATAGTTCCACTCACATTGTTCAATTTCCTTTTCAAGTATTGAGTAGCTACATCATTTGAACTAGCATTATCCACCGTAATTGTGAAAACCTTGTCTATTGCCCAATCACGCAAACATTTTTCAATCATCTTACCAATATCTTCACCTTTATGACTATTAATTGGACAGAAATTAATTATTCTTTTTTGCAAGCTCCAATTATTGTCAATAAAGTGACAAGTAAGACACATATAATTTTCCCTTTGCAATGATGTCCAAGTGTCAGTGGTAAGTGATACCCTAAGTGAAGACATATGGATTAACTTAGACAACTTTTGCTTCTCCTCCAAATACATGCCATAACAATCCCTAGCAATAGTCCATCTCGATGGAACCTTAAACCTTGGACAAGCAATAGACAAACATTTTTTAAAACCCTTAAATTCAACAAACTTGAAGGGGATTTCATGATTTATAAGCATTTCAGCAATACTCTTTCTAAGTGCCTCAGCACTATACTTCACACAACCTAGTGACCCTTCCCCTTCAAGCAATTCAGTTTGACTAGGGTCACTACTAGCACGGGGCATTTTCGGACAGGTTCTAACATGGGATTTTAGTGAACTAGTGCCGTTCAGTTTAGGATCAGCAAACAATTCTTTTTGACAATAATTGCATCTAGCTTTTTTCTCACTATTGTCATTATGAATTTTAGTAAAATGCTCCCATACCACAGATCTTGGTCGGCTAACCTTTCTTTTCTTAGTTTGATTTACTTCCTCATTGCCCTCAATTCCAGCCGTTAGTGCAATCTCTGGCTCTTTTTCAACCGTATCATCATCCATATCATCATCCATATGCATCGATCTCATTGTTGACATCTATAATTTAATGAATGTAGGAAACGAGATCATTAAACATCCCTATCATATATTCATATCTTAACACTGTAACATGTAAAATTATCACAGTGAAACCTTATAACTAATTTCAAAATTATCACAGTGAAACCTTATAACTAATTTCAAAATTATCACAGTGAAACATTATCACATTCATACCAAATAACTAATTAAAGATTATAACTAATTTCAAAATCGTAACAGTGAAACCTAAACATTATAACTAATTTCCCTTATAACTAATTTCAAAATCCTAACAGTGAAACCTAAACATTATAACTAATTTCCCTTATAACTAATTACAGGTTGAAGATTGAAGTAAGCAAAAATTAGAAATTAAAAGCAAGCAAAAATTATAAATTACCTTGAATCTGGAATCTGGAATCTGGATCTTGGAATTTTGGAGTCGAAAGTCCCGAAACAGTGAGAGCACAAAAAAATAGTAGAGACTGGAGAGGGCTGCGTCGAAGAAATGGAGATTTATAAAGAGATAGAAAAAAAATCAGTGAAATATATGAGAGGTGGAGAGAAACTCAGAAACTTACCGAGTTACCGGTGGTGACTTGGTGACGCCGTGACGGTCTGACCTTCTGACGGAGTGACGGTGAGAGGGCTGCGGTGGTAGGGGGCTAGCGGCGCTGCTCGTGCTCGACGCCTGGCCGGAGAGGGTTCGCGGACTGACGGTGAGAGGACTGGCCGGCTGCGGCTGCGGTCTGCGGAAGCCGGACTGCCGGAGAGGGTTCGCGGTCGCGTCTTCGCGATTCGCGCATGTCATGGTTATTAAGACTCTATGTGTTTTAGTTATTGCAGACTTCTACTTGTGTCCGGCCTACATGTATTATTCATTCACTTGTAACTCAAGTGGCAAATGAGATCTTTTTGTGGGAGAAAATGTCGGGATAATTTGGGTTCAATTCTCATGAGTAATGATTCTCCTTGGGCTAGTTCTCGAGCGAACGGGGATTAGTCTGGTTTACAAAAAAAATATATATATATACATTATGTACCTTTGTATATTTGAGATATACTGGCATCAACTTAAGCCTAGGTTTCGTTCTTATCAATGGCGTATGTGCCCCAAGAGAGTGTAGCCGAAATATACATTATTTACCTTTGTGTATTTGAGATATACTACCACCAACGTTTCGTTCCTATCAATGGCGTATGTGCTGAGTATAGTGGTTTCCTCCGAGCGTACGGTCACAGAAGCTACGTCTTCTCCTCCGGCTCTTCATGTTGACATCACACATTTACCTGTCCTAGCATACACAATTGGTTCCATACCTACGTGGTCAGAACGTCCTTGGATATTTGGATGGTACGACTCCATGTCCCCTTGAGACGATTGTTGCAGTAGATGGTGCTCCTATGGTGTCCAAACCTGCCTTATCTGTTTGGGTGCAGCAGGATAAGGCAATTCTCTCTATGTTTATCTCATCATCACTTTCAAAAGAAGTTATGTACCTTGTTGTTGGTTGTTTTGACGTCTCATCTGCTTTGGGAGGTAGTGGAGAATGCCTTCGGTTCCTTGACTCGGAATCGTGCACTCAACCTTCTTGGTCAATTCCAAATGCTAAGATAGGGCGATAGTACCATATTGGAATACCTCAGGCGAGCAAAAATGTTGGTTGAAGATCTTGCGTTGGCTGGTTGGCTGGCTTCGCGTGATGAACAAAACCTCTACGTTTTTAGTGGTCTCCGGCTGGAATTTCGAGCTATGACCTCTTCGCTTGCCATCTCCGATACTCTCGTGACTATTTCTCAACTGTCTGACTCTTTGCAGGAACAACAATTTATTTGTACTGATGATTTGGAGTCATTGGGAGCATCATCGGCGCCTACTGTTTTGGTTGTTCGACGTGGTGGTCGTGGTCCTGTCGGTGATGGTTCTCAGCGAGGTGCTCGTTGTGGTTCACGTGGCGGAAGAGTAGGTCACGGCCATAGTGGAGCACAGTGCTGCCAAATCTGCCATAGCCTTGGTCATACGGCAGAGACTTGCTTCCGACGCTATTCGGACTCTTCGGCGCCGCAAGTTCATATAGTGGTTGGTGATGGTGGTGCTGCTTCGCCTGGTGATTCCTTCTTTCTGCATTGGTTTCTTTTCTTCACGATATATTCTGTACCTGTAAAACATAAGGGGTAGCACCGTTAGCGAATAATATACTAAGTAACCCACCATTGCTCGTTGAGTACATATAGTATAACTATAAGGAAATCATTTGAGGCTTGGAATACATAATATATAATCTTTTAAAATTAGGAATAGAAACAATATAAGACTCATCATGGAACACTCTTAATCAACCGACCGTCATACGATAAATCAAGAGATCAATGCAACGATAAGAACAATGGAATCATCAACAACATATGATCATCAATATCAATCAAGATAACATCATAACATGAAGGATAACATCAATACATGCTCATAGCAAATGAAAGTCAAAGATCGCAACCAATGACCATTTTCCAACCTTACTCATCTCCATCCTTATAACAGTTCCAACCACAACAAGAATGAAGACATTTAGTGACAAATCTTTTGTGACACTTCATAATTTAGTCACAAATAATACGCTTTTTGTGACCAAAAATATAAGTCGACACTATTCTGTGGGATAATTGTGATAAATTTAATTTAGGTCACGGATAGTATGGTAATTGTGACAAGAAAGTATTTGTGATGAATAAGTTGTCACTATTACTAGAATAATAGTGTCGTAACATACGTTGTCACTATTTGTTATCATTAAATGTATGTGCATTTTGGCGGCATTATAATTTTGACGGGAACGAATGTAATTGTGACAAAATATAATGTGGACACAAACGTTTGTAGTTTTTGTGACAAATAGTTGTTGGTCACTCTTGTTTATAATATTTGTGACAACTTTTTTTTGTCAATAAAAATAAAATTGGTTAGTACCATTAAAAATGAGAAACAATTGTGAGGAAAAATATTATTGTCACTAATATTATCACTTTTTGTGATGAAATTGTTAAAAATATTTGTGACGCTCTATAATTCCGTAATAAAAATTACTAAATTGTGACAATATTTATGTTGATTTCAAGTTTTGTCACTAATTTATGATAATTGTGATGAGTAATTAGTTGTTACAATGACTTTGTCCCTATAATTAAATAGATGAATATTATGTGAAATTATGTTGTAATCAATGTTTGCCACTAAATTGCATTCAAATTGGTGTCAAGTAATTTGGTGTGAACTAGGTATTAAATATTGTGGTCACTTAAAATGCAACTATTTAGTGCCTCTTAAAATGAATATAATTGTGAAAATACATTTTATAATCACACATTACTTTTTTGTGACAAATAAGTTCAATATCACTTATTTTACTAATTTGTCACATCAATTCCTATGAATTGCTTGTTCTGCTATCAATATGGCATCTTCATCCTAAAGTTTGATTCAAAATTAATCAAATTAATCGAATGACTATCCTAACGACATTAGTCTACTATTTGTACATTAAGAGATATCCAATGTAACGAAGTACAATTTTTAAAATATGACTGTATCAAATATATAATATAAAATAAATTATATATAATAAAAATGAGTTATTTGAACGAATTAATCAAATTAGTTAAAGTATAATTAGTTTGGTTGATTAGATAACAATTTTTCAAAATAAAAATTCAATTAGTTTGAACCAAACTATGAAATAGTGTCCTACCCGTTTTTTCTAGCCTTTCTGCATTTTTTTTTTTCTAATTGATCACCCATTTCCTTTCTGATCAAGCCTTTTAAAAATAAAATCACATCATCTTTATCCTATTATTATTATTATTGTTGTTATAAATAAATATATAATAAAGTATAATTATAATTTTGATTATAAGTATATGTGCATTATTTTGAAATACAAAATAATTATTTTAATATAAAATGTATACATATTATTTTGGGTCATACAATTGTATATGTATATTTTCATACTTATGTATTATATTATATGTGTAACGTATGTACATATATTAATTATTTGAGTTAATACCCAAAATCGTCCTCGACTATAGTGGTTTTTCTCAATTTCGTCCTAAACGACTTTGGTGACTTAATATCGTCCCAGACTTTTGTGTTTCGCTCAATTTAGTCCCAAACTTTTGTGTTTTTGCTCAATTTAGTCCCTCATTTGTTATTCTGTCCATTTGGTGTTAAATAAATAGACAATTCAGTAATTTTAATATTGACATCTCTTTACTCATAGACATGTGAACTGCGAAATCCCTTTTTCTTTTTTTACGAATTACTCCCAGAATTACTCCTATAACTCCGAATATAAAATTTGATTTGCAGGTCCGGGAGTAATTCTGGGTGTAATTCGTACAAGAAAGAGGAATTTCGCACTTCACAAGTTGAAAGGAAAGAGAGATCAATATTGACATTACTAAATTGTCCCTTAATTTAACACCAATTTGACGGAATAACAAATGGAGGACTAAATTGAGCGAAACAAAAAGTCTGGGACGATATTAGGTCACCAAAGTCGTTTAGGACGAAATTGAGAAAAACCACTATAGTCGAGGACAATTTTGGGTATTAACTCTTAATTATTTGTATGTAACATATATTATTTGTATGTAAGTAAAATATATATAGTATAATAATTAAGTATATATGTATATGACGTGTAGTATATATATATAATAGGTAGGATAATATTTGATATAAATATATATATGGAAAATGTGTGAATTGTTATGTAATATATATTGTATACTGATATATATGATAAGAATATTTATAATTAA